GGGGCCTGGTGGCACCCGGCTGCCCTGCCGTGTTGAGACCTCCCCCTATCTCGACTGTCGGCTGTGCGGTTCCTGGCATGGTCCGTGGTGCTGGGTGGCGGCCAGGCCCGTCTGCTGAGCCAGCCTCTGCCTCTGCCCTGCCCTGCCGAGTGGGGGCTGCTGCGGCGCTGCAAGTGTGTTTACTCATCAGAACCGGAAGGGCCGACTGTGCGGCCTTTGTGTGGGGCGTCAGCGTGTTCGGCCAGTTTGAGCCTGTCTTTTTCTTACTCAAATAGCTCCCAATGCGCCCACACACCAGAGATTAGCCGATAGCAATCTGCATGCGGGAGAGATTCCTGGGCTGGCTGAGGCAGCTCAACTGACCGAGCACCTAAGTGGTGACCTGCTGAGCAAGCAGCCGGCCGGCCGCTGCCATGCCGAGCGCGCGGTGACGGCAGAGAGGGTGCTGGCCTCGCGGTGGGGAAGGCTTTATTACTGGCATCTCAGAGTGGGGATGGCGTGGGCCCCACAAACAAATTCTTAATGGAGGACCGAGGGCCACTGTAAACATGATCAGAGCAGGGACACTGTCACGGCTGACGCGGCGAGGGGGCTGGTGGCCCTAGAGACGGGGGCTGGCCGCCCGGCCCGCTCACTTGGAGCCTGCGTTCTGTGCCACCTGGAGGTACTCCTTGTGCAGCTTTTCCTGAGCGTCGAACAGCTTCTTCAGCTTCTTGGCTTGCCCTTTGCTCAGCTCCTTGCCTTCCGTATCGTGTGTGGGCAGGCCCTGAAATGCCAAGAGCACAGATGGTCACCGAGGGGCCTGCCTTCCCCGTCCTGGGGCTGGCAGAGCTGGGTTTCCTGGCCAGACACGTCTGCCTGCCCAGGCGCCTTCTCCCCGTGGAGCTCTGGGCCCAGCGCACCCATGTCAGCCGCTGAGACATGGCCAGTGTGGGCTGTGAGGGACACTGCTCCCCTCAGGGCCGGCGGGGCTCGGTTGTGACGTGACTGGCTCAGGAACATGTAGCAAATACAGACGAGAGCCAGGACGGAAAGCCCATGGGCCCGGAGGGGAACGAATGGCCAGGATGAAGGGCCCGGGGGAGTGGACACACCTGGGCCATGGCACTTCCGGCCAGCTTGTGCGGGAGACACGGCCGATTCATAGTCGTGCCCAGCTCAGCCCAGGCCACGACTCCCGGTGCCAGAGGCCACTCGGCCACGGCGGGGAGGGAGGCGGCCCCAGACCTAAAACAGGAGCCAGGTGACCCCCCTCCCTTTGAGCAGAAACCGCTCACCCAAGGCTGAAAACTCCTGCCATCCCAGTTCAAAGAGCCTCACAGAGTTCTGAAAGAAAAAGGGGTGCTTACGTTTTCATCAAACTTGGAATATTTGTCGGTTTCGGACAAGAACATCTCGCTAGGTGGGATCCTCATCTTGGCCAGCTTGGCTGCCTGGAACAGACACACGGTCACCGCCCGGAGCACACGTGGTGCTCACCCGGCGCGCGTCCGCTCCCACCCCAGCCCGGGGACGCAGCCGCTGCGGCAGACAGCAGGGTGGGTGGAGGCCCGGGGCAGAGAAGGCGGCGCCTCAGAACCAGGCTGGCGTCTGCCATGGGCACAGTCACAGCGCCACCAAGTCTAGGAGAGCCGCCCATCACAGCTTAGTGCCCTCGGCGCTTCTCTTGCCGAGGGACTGTCGGCCTCCCGGCGGGCATCGCTGGTGGACGGAGGCAGACGGGGTGCCGGCCGGGCCCCAGGGGTAGTGTCTGCCCGGGAAAGCCCCGGCCCCAACGGGCATCACCTCCTGCTCTTGCTTCTTCCTGGCGGCCTCCGCCTTCTTCCTCCTCTTCTCTTCTTCCACCTGGGGGGAGAGGGCATGGCCCATGAGCAGGCCGCTCTTGGCTGGGCGGTGGCACAAGGCCCCTGCTGCCCCGCTGTGCTGCGCTGTGGCCCGGCCCTGTGCTGGACTGTGACCTGGCCCGCCCCTCGGAGGGAGGCGAGCTGGTGTGAGGAGGCTTGGACGGCGCCCCGGGCCGGAGCGCATCCGTTAGGGCGCAGCCTGCTCGGGACAGAGGGGCGGCAGAGAACAGACGCCCCACAGTATGCGAGGAAACAGCGCGTGTGACCAGCCAGCCTGGGCGGGGCTCTGCCAGGCGGGCGCCAGGGATAGCATCTGAGGGCCAGGCGCAGATGGGAGAGGAGGGCAGAGGTCAGCAGGTGCCCAGGCACTGGGGTCAACTACATAGGTAAAGGGCAGTGGAGGGGGCTGCAAGGGAGAGGGGTGTGGTCGGCGGGGCTCAGCGCCGCACGAGTGCGCCTGGCTGGGAAGCTGTGTGGACCGCTCCTTAGCCAGGGGCTGGCAGGAGGCAGTGAGCCCCGAGTCACCTCTGCGGAAGGGCCACGGCGGGCCACACGTGGCGGCACCTGAGGAGAGGTCGGAGCCCGACACAGCTGGGGTGACAGAACGTGACACTGGGAGACATAGGCAGGCAACGCCCCAGCTCCCCAGACCCTCTGACCATGCCGAGCCTGCAGGCCGTTCACCAGTCCAGCTCGGCCCGGAACTTCCCAGGCAAGAATCTTCTGGCCCCGCCAACAGCTCCTCCCGGTGGCCACACCGGCATCCCCCTGCCCACCCACTCCAGCTCTTCCTCAACGCCCACGGAGGCCCTTCCTGGTCCGGGGGCAGCAGACCCCTGCGCCCCCCTCCCATGGTGCCTGCCCCCACTTCCTGCAGGGGCTGGAGTTCGGGGGTCTCTCCTTCTGCCACCTGTGTCCCAGGGGCGCCTCATGGCTGCACCCAGCAGTTCTGACACCTACTGTGTGTGTGTTCCTGTCTCTCTGGAACACTGAGGTCCCTCGCAGCAGGGGCTGTCCTGACCCACTGTGGCCCGCAGCCCCAGCTCAGGCCCCCGCCACGGCCCCCACTTCCTGCAGGGGCAGGAGTTCGGGGGTCTCTTCTTCTGCCGCCTGTGTCCCAGGGGCGCCTCATGGCTGCACCCAGCAGTTCTGACACCTACTGTGTGTGTGTTCCTGTCTCTCTGGAACACTGAGGTCCCTCGCAGCAGGGGCTGTCCTGACCCACTGTGGCCCGCAGCCCCAGCTCAGGCCCCCGCCACGGAGAGCACAGCGCACAGCGGGGCCCACGCAGGAGGGCGAGTGCCAGGCGGGGGGCTGGCGGAGCTGTGGCTGCCACATGTTCTACCCAAGCAGCCAAGGAGACGCCACTTCAGGGAAGAGCAAGGTGTGGCCACACGTGCCAGCTCCGCGGCTTATGAAAACTGACTAATTTTGCCTTAAAGTCTGGGAATTTTTAAAAGAGATCCTTCATTAGAAGATAAATTTTTTGTCACCAAGTTGTCAGTTACCTAGCTCATTAAATTTTCCTTCTGATGCTTATAAATCCTGGAATTTTAGTAAATGTGTAAACACTGACTCTTAAATGGTAAAGTATGCAAACTCAGAGGTTTTTACATTTTTGATAAATGTCAAGGTCAAGTCATTTAGTTTTTTTACTGACCTTTTTCTTTTCTTCTCTCTCTTTCAACAGGGTGTCCCTGTCCACCAGCTTGACCACGGTCGGCAGTCCTGAAAGGCAAGTGGCCGTGAGGGAAGCCGAGGCCTGGTGTCCATCCTCCCTGCCGGCCCTGTCCCCCCGACTCCCCTGGCAGCCCACCAGGCCCCCAACCTACGGCTGCAGCCAAGGGTCCCCTGGAGAAAAGCAAGGTGGGGCCCCTTGCTTATTGCTGATGACAGGAAATGCAGAAGTTGTAAAATAAGACATATCATCTGAGTCTTTAAAACCTAGTAGTTTTCTGTGTAGCATCCGCCACAAAGTCAAAAAACAAGCTGAGAAACCCACAGACAATCACATGACACAGGCTGTCTCAGAAGCGACAAGTCATTAGAAAGGGTGGCCAGAGGCCCACCAGAAACACGAGCAACGGGCAGCCAGGCCACGGGGGTGGACACCCCAGTGCCTTTCAAACAGGAAGGGCTGGTGAGGACACCTAAAGTGACACCGCAAGGCCCCCCCACTCCCCAGCTCTGGGGCTCCTCAACACAGAACGGACTCGGCGCCTCAGACCGCTCCCACTGTCCTGCGGCCCTTCAGACCCAGCCCCTGCCCCAGCGGCCTCCCGCCTCCCTGCCCGTCACGCTGAGGAAGCGGCCGAGCGGAACCCACCTTCATGATCCTCCAGCCGCACCCCGAGCTCGGGCAGGACGTCGTCCCGCAGGGCGTCACTGAGCTGCAGGACCTCAGGGACTGGGGCAAAGGGACAGGGTCAGTCCGATCCTCTGTGGGAAGCAGGGAAGCCTGGGACCACCACCCAGGCCTGGGCCCTCCCCGTGGACAGCTCCGGACACTTAGGGCCCGGCTCAGAGGCGGATGGGGTTAGAACCGCGCCTAGGCCTGGTCCTGGCATTCAGAGCGCAGAGAAGTCAGGGCCACCACCGCCACGAGACTAGGCTCCTCGCCCAAAGTGAGGGTCAGAATCGGCTGCCATGTTCTGCAGCCCAGGACCCAGGGACCCAAGGCCACTGGCTCTGCGTCCTTCAAGAGCCCCCTACAGCCCCCAGCGGCCATCGGCGAGAGCCAGAACTGTGCGGAGTGAAGGGCGTGGCTGTCCGGGACAGAGCGGGCGGACCCCCACGGCCACTGGGCCACCGGCCTCACCTTCCTTCTCCCGGGCGATCTTCCGCACCCCGTGCCTGAACTCCGACAGCACCTGGAGGTACGGCATGACCGTGGACTCGAGCTGCGGGAGAAGGCCTCGTTCACCGAGAGACTCAGGACAGACTTCGCACCCCGCCACACGGAGGGGTGACGCCTGGACTAGGGACACGCTCTCCTCCACACCTCGTCCCCTCCAGGTGAGTGAGCCCTGTGGACTCGGAGGCGCCCAGCACAGGCAACACTATCCAAGGGGACAGACAACTCCCCTCCCGCCCGTCCAGCAGAACACGCCCTGCCGCAGGCACAACACCCGTCTCCCCGCTCACGCTCCGGCCTTCGGGGAGGCCTGACGCCTGGTCTACACTGAGGCCGGTGCCTCGGGGCCGGTCGTGCAAGCTGAGCTGTCTCCGTGCCCCGCCCCACACGCATGTTCACGCCGGCCCTGCGGTTAGCCGTGAGCAGTCACACAGGCGGACGCGGAACACGGAGGCTGCTGGAGAAGGGACACCGTGGGGGGGGGGCAGAACCCACGCGGGAGAAACGACGTCACGAGAAGTGTCCTTCGTCACAACTGTCACCTTTTCCCGGCAGCTTTTCTGCACGGTCTCTCCTGCCTCTCCGGTCATTCGGCAGCTCGACAACTCAAACCACCGTGGTTGGCGCAGAGGCGGCCTGGGCTGACGAGCCCCGGTGTGGCCCAGGCCTAAGCCTGCCCCTGGCTGCGGGGACGCATCCCTGCAGGGGAGGGGTTGGACTGCTGGGGTTTGGGGTCTTCCTCCGCACCCACGCAGTGAGACAGCAGGGTGATCCAGGGAGGGACGAAGCCTCGCATCGCCGCCGGCCTGGGCTGGCTCCCCAGCGACCCAGCTGACCACACCAGCGCGCCGTGGGCCATCAGGACCGAGGTGGTTCAAGATGTGGGAGCTACCGCCCCTGCTCCTACAACAGCTGGGGTTGGGAAGGTAACCGTGAACTTCAAATGGTGTGACTTGTACGTCTGCCCTTTGGCCCAGCAGCCTCCCCTACTGCATTTCCTGTGGCTGCCCGCTCCAGTGAGCTGGGTCAAAGGGCCCACTGAGGTCGCTGGGGACCCGTGTCTATCACCTTCTGAAGGCCCCACGACACAGCCGCGGCATTTAAAATTGAAAGCATTTCTTAAAAGTTCAAAGGCAGACTATCTTTAACCTAGAAGTTCTTTTTTAAACAAAGAAAACAAATATCTAGAATCACTGCCAAAGAGAATAAAGCAGCTATGTGGCTTTTCCTTTTAAAAATCACCAAAAAAAGTTCACATACAGCCAAATCTAGAAGACATCACAGCGACAACTAATCTAAGGCTGGCAAAAGCCACCGGCGACGTGGGCGTGGACTCTGGCAGGACTCCTGACAACACTGAACGGCTTTCTCTCCGGAAGTCAGTTCTTGGGGAGACGGCTGTGAACGCCGCCTGCAGGCGGTGCCGGCTGTCACCAGGACCCAGGATTCCCAAGGCTTTGCCTTTCCACAGTGCGCTCGTTTAAATCACGGTTGTTACACTTGAACCACTTAAACGTCTACACAGACCTAACCGCACAATTACAGAGCGCTCCTGGCAGGAGAGGCGTGCGAGTTCGCGTGAGATGAATCTGAGTGTGCACTCGTCACAGGTTATGGCTGTCACTCAGCGGAAACTCTACACCGGCCACACGCTAACCACGAGAGCACCAACCATCGCCGATGGGCTTCCTCACGCACAGACCCAGCAGCCGGCGCAGCCCACGCGAGGGCTCGACTTGTCCCATCTAGTGGTCTCCCAGGACTAGGCTCAGATCGCACAGCAGCACAGGTGCCCCCCACCTAGCGGTCCGTGAGGAAGGCTGTCATGGCCCCGGCTGACCTTCCACACAGGGGCCAGGTCGAGACACAACCCAGGGTGGGTGTGGCCGGCCCAGTGTGGGTGGGACCTAATGCCAGTCTCCAAATGACCACAGGTTTGGCCCAGGAGGGAAATGGGACCGGGAGGGAGGACTCTAGGCAGGATGGGCCCTGGCGGTGGGTACTGTCTCTGGGCGGGGTGACCCAAGGCGGCCCCGTGGGGAGGCTCCCTGGCCCAGGCAGGCTCTACTCACGTCCAGGCTGGTTCCGGGTCCTCCCACCGGGAAGCCCAGGGAGCTCTCCTCTTCTATGGCCCCAAAGATCTAGAAGAAACAGGCGTGCAGGGTGAAGAAGTCCCAAGGGACAACAGCCTGCAACGGGGCCCACGATGCATGCAGCTGCGCGTGGGGGGAGGCAGCCGTGTGGGTGGCCTGGCCGGGGAGCAGATGGGCCGGCAGCTCCCGGAGCAGAGCCCCGGCCAGGGTGCCCCATCTCTCTGCTCAGGATGAGTCTTGGCTCTGGCCGTCCTCTCGGCCTCTCTCGCCCAAGGCCATTTCCGACGGGGAACCAGGAGGGCGGCATGTCACTCTTGGGTCCTGCATGCAGCAAGACCCCGGAACTGGCCAGCACCAAGGTGGACTCCATGTCCAACCACAAAACGGGAGGGAAACTGAGGCACAGAAGCACGATCGCTCCACGTGAGGACGGTGCACGCGCCTCACGTCTGCCGCCCAGAAGCACGGCAGGGACTGAAGGGGACAGAGCGCTCCCCGCTCGGCACTCCGCCCCGGCTCACCTTCAGCATGTGCGTGAGGTACAGGGCGATGCTCTCCAGCAGCGTCCGGCTGGGCCTCCTCCTGGCGGCCTTCCGGGCGGCCATGTAGAGGTTGCACTGGCCGACCAGAGCCCGCATTTCCTCCAGGACGGTGCGTGTGTCGATGTTATCGCACAGGGCTTCGTGCACCGCCGCCTTCTTGTCATAGAAGCTGAGCAGGAAGAGAGAGGCCCGGGAATGTCAGCGGCGTGAGGCACCTCAGGGCCTCTCCGTGCGGCCTGGAGCCCCCGGCCCCGTCGTCGGTGGGTGTGGCCGCGCCTGCACACCCGAAGGGGGCCCCACCTCTCGTTCAGCTCCGCCTCTTCCTTCTCCCACTTCTCAAACTGGCCGGTGGCGTCGACGGGAGCGCGAAGGACGTCCTTCACGTTTAAGAAGAACTCCTACGGTCAGAGTCCGGAGGAGCAGCACTGAGACGGCTCTCCCATCGCAGAGCCAGCTGCAAACGCGCTCTTCCACGCCAGGCGGCACCCGAAACGCTCTGTGCGTCGGCCCTGCCCGAGCCCGGGAGGGGGCGTGGGGGCCCCAACGCTAGCGCCTTCCCACACCCGCCGGTCAGGGGAAGCGACCGCGAGCTGCTTTTCCCGCCGGCACGTGGCCGCTCCCGCCTGCGTCCGGCTCTCGATCAGCGAAAACAGGAAGCAGGCGGCAGGTCCATCTCGGTGACCAGCGGCGCCCTGGGGAGGACGGGCACTTACGTTCATGAACTTCTCAAACTGCAGCGCGGACTCCATGGTGTTGCTAGAGTAGTCTAGCGTGTCCTTCCACGAGTGCATGAGGAAGGCCAGGCGCAGCTGCCGTGCTGTGGGCAGAAGGGCGCCGGTCCCTGAGGTCTCGAGGTCCCCTGAGGTCCCCCGAGCCGCCACCGCGTGTCCGGGAAGAGCTGTGCTGGCGCACAGGGCAGCCGACGCTTACCTGAGTGCTTCTTCAAGGCGTCTTTGATGGTGATGAAGTTCTTGAGGGACTTGGACATCTTGCAGCCTGCAATCGTCAGGTGGCCTGTGTGCAGGAAGTAGCGGACCCAGCAGTCGTTTTCGAAGTAGGCCTGGGTGGAGAGACGGGCGGGGCGACCGCGCTGAGCCCCCGTGTCTGCGGGGAGGGACTGCCTGAGTCAGCGGGCCGGGAGGTGACGGCCGGGTGGTGTCCAGGCCCATCCATTGCCACAGCCAGACCGTGAACGTGCTGAATCAGACTAGATGAGCAGGGTTCGCGTTCCCACCAACAGAACCCGCCGTGGGCCAGGCTCTACTCAGCGGCCCCTGGCTGACAGCCCCCCGACTCCTCCCACCACGGTGGGGGTGCCAGGCCCGGCCCCCTGGAACAAGCCTACCTCCGACTGCGCCAGCTCGTTGTCGTGGTGGGGGAACCGGAGGTCGAAGCCCCCTCCGTGGATGTCCATTGAGGCTCCCAGGAGGGTGCCTGCCATGGCGGAGCACTCGATATGCCAGCCCGGACGGCCCTGGCAACCAAACGACACGATGGCCGGCCCGCCTGACCTCCTGCCTCCACGTGCCCCAGTGCTCATGACCCGCAAAACCCCTGAGCTTTACGGGAGCAGGAGTTAGGTCCCACACCCAGGCGCCGTGGGGAGCCCGCTCTGCAATGCCCCCCACCGACTTCGCAGAGGCCGAGGCTGTGCCAAGGCCCATGTCATTTCCAGAACTCCGCAGCGCCCGATCAGGGGCAGAGGCCCATCGGTACTGCCGTCCCAAGGACTGTGGGGGGTGGGGTCGTCCTGAGAGTGTGTCATGCTCGGGGCCGAAGTCCGTCAGGACAAGGGGCCTCCAAAGTGTGCCAACAATCCAAACCCCCAGCTGTAGCTGGGTAGACGGAGGCCCCGGAGGGAAGTGCCTGCCCAGAGGCCCGCGAGGCTCAGCGGCATCGTGTCCCCAGGACGGGGCAGTCCTGCGGTGCTCTGGTGAGGCGCTCTGCCCATGACCGGTCCCCGCCACCCCCGCCCCAGCCTTCCGGGGCACTCACCCTTCCCCACGGGCACGGCCAGGACGGCTCGCCCGGCTTGGAGGCTTTCCATAGGGCAAAGTCGCTGGGGGACCGCTTCTCGCTCAAGCGGTCCGCTGAGATGCTCAGGTCGCCTGCAGACACAAGGGAGGGGTCACTCTGTGCAGCCAGGTGGTCGTCCCCCCTCAAGGCCGCTCCCGGCACTGCCGGGCACTCCTTCCGGCTGAGCTCCACTTATCAGCATGGGCGAGCCCGTCCTCCAGCTCACTGCCTGGGGTTTGGTGCCACCCTAGTGCCAACGTTTACGAAGCGCTAGTCACAAGCTCAGAAGCCTGGCCCGCGTCTGTGTCCAACCCACCCCCACACACACCCTCGGCCCCCACTGTGGCAAGTGACGGCGCTGAGCCCTAGGGTATGAGGCAGCTTGGGGACCCCAGCTAGCGCATAGCCCACAGGGCTCTCAGCTGTGGTTCTGGGCGGGAGCAGGATGAGCTGAGCCTGCCGCGTGCGAGGGAATCTTGGGCTGGAGGTGGCAAACCGGGACACTCACTGTTCCTCTGCGTTCGTCATGGGGGGTATGGGGATGGTAGCTACAGAGTGGCCTCTGAATGCCAAGAGCAAAAAGGAACGACCCGGTTTCCCGCACAGGTCCCCAGGGAGCAGTCAAGGCCGGTCACCAGGGGCCAGGGCCGAGCCAGCCTATGCCTGGCTGGAGTGATGGGAAGTAACCTTTCTCCGGGAAAGGGACGCACGGTCACCCCAGGAGAGTCCCAGACCGCAGGCAGGACCCACGGAGCACATCAGTGCCGTGAAAATGAAAACCCGCCAGCACGGCCCATCCCTGTGGCCCCGGTGGTGACTGGAGGACAGGGCGCAGCACTGAGGGCCCAGAGGCCCCTTCCCTGGCCCGTGTTCCAAGTGCTGCTGCCTTCTGGGTGCTGTCACCCCTCATGGGAAACTCTGGAACGGGGAGGACATTCTCAATGCCGAGCGTTGCAGACACAGCACAACCTCACGAACGCCACTGTCCAAGCATCGGGCAGCGCACGGACGCCGCCCCGAGGACAGGCGGGAGCGAAGGCGTTACTCATCGGCCACCTGTATGAGTCCAGACGGGTCCTGCGTGTAGAATGCTTGCACGGCACGGAAAAGGACCGGGAAAATGCCACAGTCGTACACGTGGTGACAACCGCCGTTCATGTTTTGTTGTGCTGATTTGCATATTGGTGTCTTTTTAAATCAATTCCAATAAAACCAGGCACAGCAAACGAAGAGGGCAAATTGTATTCCAGTTTCCTAGTTTCTCAGTCTTTGAGTGCGTTACCGCGTCACCAGAAATTACTCGAAAACATAATTTGATACGGTGCTTTGACGTTCTTTTAGCCACTCTTTACATGACAGAAAATGTGCTTTTAGGTTGTTAATGTTTTGTTATGGACATGGGAATATATCTGGCTTTTATGAAAAACTTTGTAACAAAAATGACCTTGCTCTGTCACAGCCCTCCCCCATTCTTCACCAACGTCATGATTTGGTGATAACTGTTATTTGCTCCCGATTCTTGAAGAAAGAACTAAATCACACAATCCTCTCCCTCCCCCTCCTGGTGTCGTTTCTCATCTCCCTCCCAGAGGCAACCGGTACGCGGCCCCAGAGTGTCAGGAGAGTTTGTCACTGTCACCCCATGGCGCCCTGTTCTACTCAGCAGAGCAAGCAGGCTGGCCCGCAGGGGGCCCGGGTCCCCACCGGCACACACCGCCTCTGTTAGAGCCCCAGTGTTTAGATGAAAGGTGACACTTCCCAGGTCTCCTTGCAGTGACGGGCCATGTGGCCAGGTGCAACCACAGGTGGAGGTGGAAACGCCCCTAGAGGGAGAGCACGCCCCTCCCCGTCCCTTGGCTGTTGAGTTCTGCGCCTCTCATCCCTGGAACTTAACCCGGTTCTGAAGTCAGTCTGCAAGAAAACGGGCCCGGCACAGGCGCTGTCTAACAAGAACCGTCAGCGGGGTCGGACGGCGTGCTCGTCACACAGCCCCCGTGTGCTCCCATGGTTCTGGAAGCGTCCTCGTCCACGTGACCGTTGGAGGCCGGGCGCCTCGCCATGTTCTCCTGCGTCTGTGCAGGTGTAACGCTGGCTCCGGCCGGTCTCCACAGCACGTCGTCAGGCTCGGCTTCCTCCTCACGGACCCGCGGATGCTCCGCTCGCTCGTCAGTCCTGCCGGAAGTGCTTCTATTTTTCCGTCTTGCTGAAGAACAGGCTGTCAACCTCTAGAGTTATTTCCATTTTATCTTTATTTCCTTTCGGTCTGCCATTGTTCTGGTCCAGCTTCCGCATCTGTCGCTTACCTCACTTAATTTGAACCCTTCTGTTTTGCAATTGCACGGCACTTAAAACCACAGAGCTCCTTGAACCAGCACGTCAGCTGCACCCCCCCGAGTTTTGCCACATGGCGCCTGCCTGCTGTTCGGGTAAACCTTCCGCTATCTGCACCTGGTCCTCCGTTCCTGCAGGCTACTGAGGAGTGTGATTTCACACAGGTCTGTAAGTTTTAAATGTCCCCGGTGTTGACACCGAGTCATTCATCGCGGCCACAGGATGCAGTCCCCATGCGAAGCCTCTCTTTGGGATTTGTGGGGACTCCTCTCTGGGGCCTGCTGTGTGGTCCTGTGTGAGCTTAAGGGAGTGGACGTTCCTTATTCCTGGGTGTGAAGTTCTGATCCGTTAGACTGGCCACTGATGTGTATTTCTATCCTGTCACATCCCGGCGAGTCTTGGCGGATCCACCCACTTCCAGAACTGCACGAACCCCCTTCCAGGTGTGGCCGTGTTTACTTCGTACACTTTGGGGATGCGGACGCCATGCTGTCTGGTCCCAAGTCCGTGACCGGCCCTCCTGGGGACAGGAGTTAGCATCACGCAGTCACCTCCCTTACTCTGATGACTGTCTGCAGCCTCAAATGCCGCCGGGTCTCCTGTCAACACCGTTAAAGCAACAGTCTAACTTCTCTTAACGTTTCTGTGTTGCCTTTTGTTTTTGGTTCTGGTGTTTCTTTAGAACAGAGTCCTAGAGGTGAAATTACTTGATCAAAAAGTATAAACATTTTCATGGCCAAATGGCCTTCCCAAGACGCTGGAGGGTAAACGCGGCGCGCGCCCCGGCCGTGAGCGAGCCACCCCGCAGCGTGGGTTCTGTGGTTCGTCCCCACGTTGTCAGGGACTGAGAATGGAGGCGACACTATGAAAGACAAACACAACTCGACTTGGTCCAGAAAGAGCCTCTGTCTATGTTTAGAATATTTAGCGCAAGACAAACACGGAAAAAAACAAAAATAGAAAAAGCAAAACCGAAAAATAAAATGAGAACAAAAAGATGGGCGTGGGGCCGGCTGTCCCTCGCTGAGATGAGGAAGCAGCCGCTTCGGGCTGCTGCCTGGCACTGCACTCGACGGCCTGCTCGCGCCTGCACGCCGTGGGGCCGGAGCGGGGAGGTCTGGCCCGGGTCCCCGTCTGGCTTTTCCTGAGCGCCTTTTAAAATGACAACTCAGAGTGGAGCCCAGGAAAAATCAGTGACCTCCCAACCCCCTTTAAAGTAGTAGGTGCTCATCGCCCTGCTCTATCTCCTGCTCGCCGGTGACCTGAAACGGAGGGCTGCCCTCCCCTCATCGTGCCTCGGCTCTGGGACCCGTCACGATGCACTCGGTGACCGTTTCCTCCGTGTGCTTCTGCTGTGCCTTTGCCAAAATGGCCCCGGGTTTTCCGTTCCCCAAAGTGAGAGCTCGGGTGCGGAGGGAACGACCTGCCGCCGTGGGGGGGTGGCTTGCGCCTCATCGGGCCCTAACCTGCATCTCAGCGCAGCAGCTCCCGGTGCCCCACCGTCCACGCTCATGCGCCCCACCGACACCCCAGCCCGAGCACTCTGGGGCCCCGAGGTTTGCACTGCTTCCCAGGACAGCACTGAACGTGCAGCTGAACCTGAACATGGGTTGGGGCGCCGGCCTCACACCCAGTTGGAAATCCACGTATAGTGTTCGACTTCCCCCAAAACCTAATGGCCGATAAACGGCCTACTGCTGATCGGAAGCCTCGCCGAGCGCATAAACAGCCTAGCGACGCGCGTTTGTCGGGTCTATGTGTTCCATGCTGTGCTCTCACGATAAAGTGAGCCAGGGAAAACGAACCGTCGTGAAGAAAACCATATGGAAGAGAAAGTACTCGTTTACTGAAAACACCCCGTGCCAGTGGCCCTGCGCAGTTTAAACCGAGCGTTCAGGACCAGCCGTCCTTACAGTTTACTGATTGAAAAATTATGCATTTCACGGGCTTGGTGTAGAAAACTCCCTGAGGCCCTTCAGGTGAAAAGGTGCCGCCCCCACCCCACCTTCGCCACCCCCTCACCTTCTCCCTCCTGCAGGGCTTTCTGATCCCCCACGGCCTCAGGCACCAGCTTCCCGTACGAGTGTCTCTCGCTGGACGCAAACTTCACTGTGTCAAAGTACACGGACCCGTTGGAAGCGTAGCTGGGAAACAGAACAGAAACAGGGCGCGTGTGGCAGACCCAAAGGTGGCCGGAGCCGTCCCAGGAGGCGCGGCGGGCGGCAGGCTGCATTCACTCAGCCTCTGCCCCAGGCCACCGTCCCCAGCACTACAGGTCTTGACACCACGAGGACTTGACACCGCGAGGACTTGACACCACGAGGTCTTGACACCGCGAGGACTTGACACCACGGTGCTGGTGGGCGGGGCAGAGACATGCGTGTGGCAGACCCAAAGGTGGCCGGAGCTGTCCCAGGAGGCACGGCGGGCAGCAGGCTGCATTCACTCAGTCTCTGCCCCAGGCCACCGTCCCCAGCACTTCGCTGCAAGGTCTTGACACCACGGTGCTGGTGGGCGGGGCAGAGACATGGCAGGGATGCATCACCCGGCAGGGGCCGAGTCCTCACTCCCCGGGCAGCCTGTCCCTCTGCACACGACCTTCTGCCGCGAATCCTGTGACCATGCAACTCTCGCCTCTGAGACAACACGGTCCTGGGTCGTGCCCTCAACTTTCTGTCTACATTATACCCACCTACATGGCCCAGCCAAGGCTCTCTGCCTCCCAGAAGCCCGGAATGATCTGTCTCCTGTCATCTTGGCTTGGTCCCTGTCACACGGTCCTGTGTCACCTTGCAGCGACCATGAAAAGGGGGCACCCATGCTGCCCTAGGCCCCTCACTTGGCTGGGGGTGTGGCTCCCTGAGGCCTCGCCTCCCTGGGGCAGGGGAGAAGTCCCCTGGCGTAGGGCACGGCGAGCAGGGGCCGCACTGGAGACAGGCACCGGCTGCCGTCCGTGCTCCCACGTGCCGGCTGTTTCAGAAAGTGCTAACTTCAGAGCCTCGCAAAGTGATTCCCGCAGTCGGAAGGTGCCAGAATGGCAGACGCGGGGCAGGGCAGCCCTCCGGCCCAGGGCAGGGGCGGCGTGTGCTGGAATCCCACCAGGCAGAGAACACTGGACACCGCCGGCCCTGCCTCGGGGGGCCACACGAGGACGAGCGCCCTCAAAGGGCCGATGCCGCCAAAGACCTGGCAGGGCCCACGCGCACCAGCGGCTGCTTCGGTGGCCTTAACTGTGGGCTTCCTAGTGGACGGCGGGCCAGCAGCTCCCCACACCTCTCGCCTTTGCCACAGTCCCCAGGGCAGGACACGGCCGAGCAGGGGGGCTGGTCGGCCCCCGTGGGCAGGGGTGGCCCCAGGTCCTAGGCTGGGCCCCAAGCGGTGGGAGCAAGCCTGCCGGGGGCTCAGGGCGGGCGGGCTGCAGCCAGCACGGCCCCCCTGCTCTCCCTCCCTGCCCTGGACACGGCGGAGTCTGTACAGCCAAACAGCAGCTTGAGCACAGCGGAGCCGCGGCGCCGAGGGGTGTTGAAACTCTCACGCTGCGCCCCTCAGGCTGAAAGCGGAGAGGCCTGCTGAGGGAGCGCGTGCCACGGGGTGGCGAGGCTGGGGCTCGACTGTGCTCCCGTGTGTGCGGAGCAGTCCTCACCCCCAGCGCCCTAGGACGTGACTGCACGCGAGTCTCTAAGGGGGCGGTTAGGGAGGGCCCTCGGCCAGCACGCGGCTGACCTCGTAAGGAGGAGGCCAGAACTCAAACTGTGCTCAGTGCCAAACGTGGAGGGACAGGGAGAGGGCGGCCGTCTGCCAGCCAGATCCTCCCGCACGGCCCCCGGCGCCGCGCTCGGGCCTCTGGACTCCGGAGCCGTGAGCCGACACCCTCCGCTGCCCCGGGCCCCGACCGAGACGGGCGGCCGCTCTCCTGGGGGACTCTCCCGCGTGGCCTGAGGGGGCCTGGGCTCACCCGTAGCCGTTGTCCACGATCTTCTGGACGAAGCTCACGATCTCTGGCACGTACTCGCTGACCCGGGTTAAGACGTCCGGGGGAAGGACCTGCGGGTGACAGCAGCAAGGCCTGGGCCCTCCCCCCGCGAACATCGGCCTGGGGCGCACGCTCCGGGACAGCGGCCCCTCGCGCCCCCGCGGCCCGGGAAGCACGGGCGGGCGGCCGCGACACTCACGTTCAGGGCTGCCATGTCTCTGTGGAATTCGCCTTCCCAGAACTGGGGCAGTTTGGAGAAAATGGAGTTGTCGGTCACCTCGCTGCCCAGCGTGGCGTCCAGCCACTCGGACAGCAAGTCCTTCGCTTCCTCCAGCAACACCTGCCGGAGAGAAACGGAGCCTCCCTCGCGCCCCGCTCTACCGGATCCCGGCGGCGGGTGCTCTGCTCCACGCAGGCCTCGCGCTCAGAGGCGCGCTGAGCACGGCCCGGGTCCGAGACGAGCGGCCCTCTCCGGGAGCCCCCATGCTCCCGCGTGTGGCTCAGCACGGGGACCCACGTGGGCTCAAAAGTGGCAGACTCGGTGGCGCGGTGTGTCTGGAGCCCCGACCACCACACGCGGAGCGGCAGGGCGGGCGGAGTGGGCAGGGGTGCCCGCGGGGTGCTCGCCCGCAGCTGCACGCCTGAGCGCTTAGAACTCACAACAGGAGGTGGCAGGCGGTTGGGAGACGGGCAGAGCCCCCGCCCTGGAGGGAGGCCTCGAGGCCCACCAAGCCCTGGTGGTCAGGCGTCACCCACTGAAGAGGCCGGCCCCACGTCCCGCCCCACGACGGAGCGACGTCTGTAAAGGCTGTGTCCCATCACCGTGGCACTCGCACTGGGTGGCAGAAACGTCTGCCTGTGACATGCCCAAGCCCCCCGGGGCGGGGAACCAGCCGCTCTGCCCTGGAGGGATCTAGTGCTCTCGGCAGATGAACCGCAGTGGTGACACGGATGCGGGGACTGGCAGGCAGCCCGCGGTCCACGAGTGGGGGGAGGAGTGCAGGAAAAGCGAATGAACGTGGAGGAAGGGGTGGGAACATGGGTGGGGCGGCGTGGGTGGGGACACAGTGGGGCGGCGTGGGTGCGGACACACAGTGGGGAGGCGTGGGTGTGGACACACAGTGGGGAGGTGTGGGTGCGGACACGGGCGGGGCGGCGTGGGTGGGGACACACAGTGGGGCGGCGTGGGTGCGGACACACAGTGGGGCGGCGCACACGCACACGGCACTGACAGAAGGGTGCGGACACGGGTGGGGCGGCGTGGGTGGGGACACACAGTGGGGTGGCGTGGGTGAGGACACAGTGGGGCGGCGTGGGTGGGGACACACAGTGGGGCGGCGTGGGTGCGGACACACAGTGGGGCGGCGCACACGCACACGGCACTGACAGAAAGCGGGCAGCCGGGCACTCTCCGCCGGGATCCCCGGGAAGGCAGCCCTGCTAACGCGCCGCTGCGCTCGCAAGTATCAAGAAACGCGTGCAAGGACACCGATTGCCCCTCGTCCCCACCAGGCTGGGCACCCGGGGCGGAGGCGGAGGCTGTGGGAGGGAAAGCACTGGACCTGCCCCAGGTGTGGGGGCAGGAAGCGCACAAGGCGGTGGCAGATGGCATCTCCTCGAAGGCGTCCGCATTTCTGGCCCTCAGGATGGCCACAGATTTTGCCCAGGAACGAGATCCTAATCTAAGCTCCGAGGGGAGGGGCGCCCGTGAGCGGGGTCAGGTCTGAGGACGTAAGCAACAGACGACACGGACGAGGGCCCCGGAAGTGGTAACAGGTGCTGCGTGCCTGAAGGGGAAGGGACGGCGCGTGAGGCAGAACCGAGCCGAAGACGCTATCGGGTGAGAGAAGAGAGACGAACGGGCCCTCTGCGAATGAGACACCGACGCGGAGTCCACGCGCTCAACGAGAGGACTAGCGGGTGCAAAGACAGGACCGAAGAAGTCGCCCGAGACGCAGCAGAGGCAGGAAGGGCGCCTTGCAAGACAGGGACGAGACACAGGATAGAAAGAGAGGATGCGACCTCCAGCTAACAGGAACCCGGGCGGAGAGGAGAGGGGACAGAGGACACGTGATACCGGACAACGCGTCTGAGACGTTTCCAGAACCGATGCAACAGTCCACCGACACGGAAGCATGGAGAACATCCATCAGACCAGTGAAAACGAGTCCCTCGTGCTGTCTCAGTGAAACAGCAGAAAACAGAACATTTGTCCAACAACGTGGAGGGGGGACGACACCCCAAGACGCTCAGAGAAAATGGCTGCGGACAAGCTTAACTGTAGGACCAGCAAAACCAACCTCGGGAAGCACGATGGAGTAAGCGCGTTTCTCGGTACAAACTTCAGCGAGGTTCCCGCCCTCTGCTGAAGCCTGGGAATCACTCACGGGTCCTGTCCCGCGTGCGGGCACCGGCCTCGCCCTGGAGGTCGGGCTGCAGCGGGCTGGACGTGCCCTACCCCCGCACGCACTCTGGGTGATTCTCCGATCTGGGCAGTCCTGGTGACATCAGAACTTGGTCTAGTCACGAGTGCAGTGACACAAGGTGTGGCCCGATGACACGCTGCATGAGCCCCCCAGGAGTGAGTTCCCAGCCCGGCCACAGCCCCGGCCACCAGACTCCCAGGAACCAGCAGCCTGCACTTCAGCAAGTGACACGGGCATGGCTGAGCTCCGGACTGGACGGCGTCCATCCCACAGGAGACCAAAACGCCCCAGAGAGGGGCGACTGAGGGCCAAGCGGGCAAACCGAAATGAGGGAAAACTCACGTCTAACTGGCTGGGCTTTCAAAATGACAGACGTATAAGACCGCCACGGAAACACAGCACGAAGATCAGGGCTTCGCTCAAGTTCAGGTGTTCCGGAATCCTCGTGCGGCTCGGGACAGGGGACGGGGACGGCGAAGTGACTGTGCACAGCGCCGACTCCGGGGCAGGCACGAGGAGAACCCACAGGGATGCGGAGCTGGCGAAGGAGAGGAGACGACCCCACCACGACGACAGAGCCGAGGAGAAGCACCGCGTGTGCGACGCAGAGAGCCAGGACAAGAGAAGCACCATCCGGTGACAGACGCCAGCCCGGCAGTAAGAGGACCCGGCTCCCCAGCTGAAGACAAAACGGTCCCCGCCAGACGCTGGGGACAGGAGACGCTCCTGAATCCCCGAGGCCGCAGAAACGGAGAGGGGGGCGGCCTCCCTGCGTGTGCTCACAGACGAGTGACGTCAATGATGGCAATGCCACGAGGGACGAAAGGAGAGCTGGGAGCATCTGATCGTAGGGCACTCACGCTACCCGGGAGCCACCAAAGCCCAGCGTCGTTTGACGGTGGGCTTGGATTACTTGAAAATGTAAATCGCAAACTCTAAGGCAACCGCCAAAAAAAGTAGAAATGAAGCGTAACTGATATGCTAAGAAAAGGAGAGACAACAGGACACGTAAAACACTCGAATAAAACCGGGAAAGTCAGAAAAAGAGTGGAAGACAAAAACGGGAGCGAAGAATAAGGACGACTCACAGAGAAGGGAACGAACGTGCTGGCAGGAGCCCGCGTGTCAGGGAGCCGCGGGACGCCAGCAGGTGGACGCGGCGCGGCGCCGGGGCGGAAGCGGGCAGGACCGGGACGCGACCGTGCGCGCTCCGCAAGAAGCCCACTTTCAACGTAAAGACACGCACACGTCAAAAGTGCGCGGACGGAGAAAGCAGGCATCGCTGCGATTAATTTCAAACAGAGCGACGTCAAAGTTATCAGAGATGAAAGGTGACATGATGACAAAGGGTCCGTTCGCCAAGAAGACGTAACAGCCCTCACCACGTACGCACCTAACAACAGGCATCAAACCCCGAGGCAGAAACAGAGAGAGCAGCAGGAGGACAGAAGAATCCGCTGCCACGGCTGGAGGTGTCGGCACCCCTCCCTCAGAAACGGCAGACCCAGCCGGCGGGAACCACGGGGACGCAGCGAACTCGGCGGGACCATCAATAAGCCGGGTGCAACGGACATCTGTAGACTACTTCAGCCAACGACACACAGAGTACACATTCTTCCCCAGGCCACACGGACACGCGGCAAGACAGACCACGAGCTGGGCCCCAAAACACACCTGAGCAAATTTAAAAGAACAGAAGCCACACAGTGTCCGCTACCAGACCAAATGGAATCAAGCTAGAAATCAGTGACAGAACAGCAGCTGGAAAATCCCCCAATACATGGAGACTAAACAACGCACTTCTAAATAACGCAGGGGTCAGACAGCTCAAGAATCATCTTTTTAAATATTTTGAACTAAATGAAAATGAAAACGCAACTTAGCATAATCTGTGGGGTGCGGCGAAAGCAGCCCTTGGGGAAAATGTATAGCATCGATGCACACGTTAGCAGAGGAAAGACCTAAAGTCGATCATCATAAACTTCCACCTTAGGAAACTACAAAAAGAGCACATTAACTCCAAAGCAGGCAAAAAAGAAAAGAAATAATACAAATTAAAGCAGAAAACAGGAAATCAAGGGAGAAAAATGAACGAAACTAAAAGCCGTTCTCTGAAAAGATCAATAAAGTTGATAAGCCTCTAGCCAGGCTAAGAAAAAAAAAGAGAGAGGACACGAAGACTGATATCAGATCAGAAACGAAAGGTGGGACGTCGTCACAGAGCCCGTGGACATTAAGAGGATGATAAAGGAATCCCGTAAAAATCTAGAGCCCAAGGTGTGACGGCCCAGATGAAGGGCCCAGTTCTTCGAAAGACACAGCTGCCAAAACTCGCACGAGATGATACAGACAGCCTGAATCAGCCTGTATCTTTCAAAGAAGGTTAATCAGTAATTAATAACTTTCTAAAATAGAAAGTTCACTGGAAACCTACCAAACTTTTAAGGAAGAAATTATAATTTCTACAGCCACTTACGTTGAATAGCAGCAGAGAGGACACTTTCTAAATCACCCCATGAGGACAGCGTCACCCTAACACCAACACCAGACAAAGACGTTGCAAGTAGAAAAAAATACAGACCAACATCTCTCGTGAACGTAGATGCAAAAACCCTTAACAAAATGTTAGCAAACTGAATTCACAAAAGTCTCAGAAGAACCATACACCACGACCATGTGGGATTTATCACAGGTACACAAGGCTGGCTCAACATTACAAAATCAATTAACGTAAATCATCGTTTCAACAGACGAAAAAATAAATTAACATGATCGTATCAACACATGCAAAAAAAAGCATCTGACACAATCCGACACACCCGTTCACAATAAAAACTCTCAGTAAACCTAGACCAGAGGGGAACTTCCTCGAGCTGATAAGGGACACCTACAAACCCTACAGCTGACATCACGGCTCAAGGTGAGAAACTAGGCTTCCCCCTCAGATCAGGTGCAAGGCCAGGTGCCCCTCGGCACGCCTCCGTTCCGGCAGCCCACGGGCAGCCCTCGCTCCTGCAGGAACGCACGAGAAAGAAATCCAGCTGCACTGATCGGGGAGAGGCGTAAAACTACAGGCCGACAAGTAAGCGGAGTTCGAAATAAAAAACAATACTGTTCGCATTAGCCCTCCCAGAAAGAAATGCCTACGAATAAAGCCAACCAATCAGCTACAAGAGCTAGGGGAGGGAAGCTGAAAAACTCTGACGAAATAAAAAAGTAAATGCTCACGGATGGGCAGACTCGATGCTGTGGAGATGCCGGTCCTTCCCGACTTGCTCTGCAGGTTCAATGCCATCCCCATCGAAGTCCCAGCGAGTTAGCGACAAACTGGCCCTAGATTTTATGGGAGGAGGCGAAGACCCAGAAGAGCCACCGTGCCGGCGGCCGGAGCGCACCAGGCTCCAAGGCTGACGGTCCAGCCCGGGCAACCGCGACAGTGTGGCGCCGACGAGTGAGCGGGGCGTGGACAGACGGGCCGGAACGCAGCCCCGGGACGGACCCGCAGCAACGCCGGCGACTGACCTGCGACACAGGAGCAAGGGCGACAGGAAGGAACAAAGACATCGCGAGGACTGGACATCCATCCACCCGCGAAAGAATGAATCCGGCGAGACTCACGCACGTCACAACGACCGACACAGACCGGAACCCAGACCCCAATGTGAACTGCAGAACTGTGAGAGCCCTGGAGGGCGACGCAGGAGAAAACCTACGTGGCCCTGGGCTTGGCGACGATGTGAGACACAGCACCGGAGGCTTGACCCATGAAGAAGAGAACCGATCGGCTGGACTTCGCCGAAAGTAAAACCTCGCCTTTCCAGCGGTGACGATCTCCTCACGAGGACGCGTCTCTCGCCAAGGACCTCCTCCGCCCTCTCCAGAGGAGAAGAGGAGGCACAAGAAGCAGCGCCTGGTGCGGAGCCCCAAGTCCTACTTCGTGGACCGGAAGTGCCCAGGATGCTGCAAGGTCAGTGCTGTCTTCAGCCACGCACGGCCGGTGGCTGCTGCCTGTGCTCTGCCGGCCGACAGGCGGAAAAGCAAGGCTTACGGAAGGACGCTCCTGCAGAAGGAAGCAGCCCCGAAAGCACCAGGAATGAAGGTGAGTGAGGACCCAACGCAATGAACACATTCTGGATACAAAAAAAATAAATAAAGAAAGAAAGAAAAGAAAAAAATGGGGAGAGTAGGAAAAAGAATAAAATTAAAAACTCCTGCTCTGGGAAAGCTATCAAGAGGATGATGAGATGAGCCACAGATAGAAGATATTTCTAAAAGACATAGCTGATAAAAGACTGTTATCTAAAAATATACAAAGAACTCTCCAAACTCAGAAATAAGAAAGCAGATACTGGTTAAAAAATGGGCCAAAGGCCTTAACGGCCACCTCACCAAGATACACACCCAGCAAATGAATATCGCAGAGGTGCCACATCATATGTCATCAGGAAGATGCAGGTGACCGTGAGCCACCCCGCACACCTGTCAGAATGACCACAGCCCAGGGCATGGCAGCCCCGGGCGCTGGCAG